TTCAATCTTCGGTCTATGAAGATCTTCCTTCAATCGGCTTGTAACTTCAAAATATTTTCAATATGCATTTCAGCTAGGGATGGCAAAAAAACCCGAAACCGATGGTGAAAACCAAAAACCGAACAATTCGGGTCGGGTTCGGGGACCTCTTAACGGGTACGGGGCAGGGATCGGGGAGAGTTTCGGGGATTATATCGGGGACGGGGACGGTACTCACCGACCCGGACCGGCCCGATAGTATATATAATATATTTAAATTTTATAAATTACACTTTAATAAATGGTAGCCCAAAACATATAACATATTCCAGCCCAACTTATCAATGGTAGCCCAATAAGGCAATAACCTATGACTGTATGACAGACACAGACTACTGCTTGACTCAACGACATCGCCTCCTCCGACCATTCTTCGTCTTCTCCATTCTTGCTTGACTCTCTCGACTCCCGCTCCTGCACGACACCAGTCACCAGTCGCACGACTCTCGCGGGCCGCCGCACGACTCTCGTCGGCCGCCGCTCCCACTCGCAGGCGACCTAACTCCCAGTCGCCGCTGTATTGCTCTCTCCCGCCTTGACCTAACTCCCCGCCGGCGCTGTCCCTCAGTTTCTCCTGTTGCAATTGAAGGTATGTCCATTCCTTCCATTCTTCACAGTCTGGTAGTACTTCCATTCTTCACAGTAGAAATTTACATTTTACATTTACGGTAGATACTTCAGATTATAAATATTTTAGGCATTCTGTAATATGTTTATAAATTTATTGTATTGACTTGTCTATATAAATCCTATATAACTCTATATAATAAAGATTGCCTTGATTCTGTTGTATTCAATACCATATTTGCCAATTGAGATTTAGATCTTCCCAAGGTTCCTGCAGGTGTATTACTATCCACTAGCTCTTCCTTAAGTCTACTATTTGATCTTAGGGTTGTGGAACTAGTATACTTTTTGGAAGGCAATTTAGAACCAGATGATGAATTTGTGGAACTGCCATTGTTATTGAGGAATCCTAAATTATGAGTTGCAACTTGATTTTGTTCATAATCTATTTGTTCATAATCAGAACTTGAGAAGCATTAGTTATTCTAAGTGAATATYAGAAYTTGGTAACTTGATTTTGTTCATAATCTATTTGTTGATCAATGGAGTAGGTTTGGTAACTTGGTATTATTTAATTTGTTTGTCTTTACATACGTGATATCAGATATGGAAATACAATGTAATGATTCCAATACAATCAATCCTATTGATAGTCATCCAATAATGAATGAGTCTATTTCACAAAGTAAGCCAATTAGATCATCACCTGCGATTAATTCAGTGACTGAAAATGAAACGCAAACTAATCATGTMTCTGATAATGATGAAATTGAGTCGGGGGGTAGAAAGAGGAAAACACGATCAATAGTATGGAACCACTTTAAGAAGATTAAAGTGGATGGTAGTGATAAAGCAGAGTGTAACTATTGCAAAAAGAAATTGGGAGCGAACTCGAAAAATGGTACAAGGCATTTACATGACCATTTCAAGTCTTGTGCAAGGCGACCTGTTCGAGATATACGCCAACATATCTTAGTAGGGGAGCAAAATAAGGTTGATGGTACTTCATCGTATGTTTCTAATTATACTTTTAATGTGGATAAATCAAGAAGAAATCTCGCAGAGATGATAATCATACACGAGTATCCACTTTCAATAGTAGAACATCATGGGTTCCGAAAGTTTGTGGGGGGTCTTCAACCTTTGTTTAAGGTTCCATCTCGAAACACCATTAAAAGTGACATACTAAAGATTTATGATTTTGAAAGACAAAAGACATTGAAGATGTTAGAAAAGAACACTAGTAGGATAGCAATTACGACTGATATGTGGACGGCTAACAATCAAAAAAAGGGATTTATGACGGTCACTGCTCACTTTGTTGATCAAAATTGGAATATGCAAAGTCGGATCATGAGATTTATTTTTGTGTCTTGTCCACATACATCTGAAGTTCTTGCGGATGTACTTTATGATTGTTTATTGGATTGGAATCTTGATAGAAAACTGTCCACACTAACTGTTGATAATTGCACCACAAATGATGCAATAATCAACATATTGTTGGACAAGCTTCCTATGAGTTCACTTATGATGGGTGGGAGGTTGTTCCACATGCGATGTTGTGCACACGTTCTCAATTTGATAGTTCAAGATGGATTGGCTGTTCTTGGGGACGGGATTGAAAGGATTAGAGATAGTGTGGCCTTTTGGATTGCATCACCAAAAAGAGATCAAAAGTTTGAGGAAGCAGCTCGCCAATTGRGAATATCATCCACCAAGAAATTGGCACTTGATTGTAAGACTCGATGGAATTCTACTTATTTGATGATTAGTGTTGCTATAGTTTACAAAGACGTCTTTCAACGCTTACACCAACGAGAGTCTCAGTATAAAAATTTGCCAACGCAACGGGATTGGGAGTTTGCTAAAGAGATTTGTGATAGATTGCAATTATTTTATGAGGTAATTCTAATTTTTATTTAAACTTTACTTTTGTTTTGTTGATATGAGTTAACTTTACTTATCGTTTTTTTGGCAATCTTAGGTAACAGTAATGTTTTCTGGTTCAAAGTATCCCACTACAAATGTATTTTTTCCATCGATATATGAAATTAGATATTCTTTGGTCGACTGGTCATGTTCTCCTAGTGAAGTTATTAGAAACATGGCTAAAAGATGCTTTTGAAGTTTGACAAGTATTGGTCTGTTATACATGGGATTATGGAAATGGCAGCGGTTTTAGATCCTCGGTATAAATTGAAGTTTGTGGAGTTACTTTTTCCTGTGTTGTACGGACAAGACAAATCGGCGATTGAACTTGAGAAGCTCAAGGAATTGGTCTACACTTTGTTTCAAGAATATGAGCTTAGTGATCCTGGTGTAAGAAACAACAACGAAGGTGTTAGTGGTTCGTCTTCTTTAAGTTCAGGGTCTTCAGCAAGTCATCAGGTTGAATTTAAAAAACTCTTATCAAATATTGCTTCAATTGCCAACCAGCATGATGATTCAGGTATTACAACAGAATTGGATAATTATTTGAAAAATAAACTTTTGCCTAAAGACATGGAACTTGATTTGTTACTTTGGTGGAAGACAAATGGGTTTAAATACCCAACACTTCAAAGGATTGGTAGAGACATATTAGCCGTTCTTATTTCGACTGTCGCCTCGGAATCTGCATTTAGTACAGGTGGAAGATTGGTAACTCCATATCGTAGTCGACTTCATCCAAAAACATTGAAGGCTCTAATGTGTGGTCAAAGTTGGCTATTGAATGAAATACGAGGTAATCTTATATTTCTTTTAGTTATGAATTCTTTTTAGTTATATATTTAGTATTTCAATCATTTTATTTATTTATACTACATTGTGTTTTTTTATAGAAACTTGTTCTGATGATATCGAAGCATATTACCGTACGATTGAGTATGATTATGACGTGGAAGAGGTAACTACAATTACAATACTATAGACAATGATTATGGTATATTTATTTATTTAGACTTTTACATACATTTTATTTTATAGGAAGCTAAGGAAAGTGAAAGCTTGGGTTGACGAGTTTGGCCATTTGGGAGTTCTCAGTTTCAAGTTAGTAATCTAGCAAGTTTGTCTACTTGTCTTTCGAGTTCGTTGGATTATGTCTAAACTCTAGTTTATTTTGGGATTGTAATTTAAGACGTTTTTGGTTGATCATGTACTCAATATGATGGTCATTGTCTTTTTGTSAAGGTTTATTTTGATTATGTTTTTGTTCGATAATGGTTGTCCAAGAAACAGCCAAACAGATTTACTTGATTATGTTTTTATTCCAATTTTTTGCTTGATAAATATGTGTTTTTCCAGATTCGGGTTCGGGTTATGGTTCGGGTTCGGGTTCGGGTTCGGGTTCGGGTTCGGTTTCAGGTAAAACCAATGGGTAACGGTTATTCTGCTCTTAACGGGTTACCAATGGGGATCGGGGAAACCGCGGGGACCCGATGGGAATCCCTGATAAGATCCCTGACGGGGATCGGGACGGTTACAGGGATGGTTATGGTTATCGGTTTCGGGGATGGGGACTCTAAAAACCGGCCCGAACCCGGCCCGTTGCCATTTCTAATTTCAGCTACTTCGAAGTCTTGGTGTGTTTATTAGACAGTTGATCCACAACACCGTATCGGTGACCTTCTGTCTTCACATCGGCTAGTCTTCGATTTTGCCAATGGCTTTAAGTATGTACCAAGACACCAATTTACAAAGAACCAATAACTACCAAGTGTTGCTAAGGTAGAGGAACAGATCAGTGGGTCATCACCAAATCAATAGGTGACCCAACACCCATCCAAAATTTAGATAAGTTCTGAACACAAGGGAATGGGTCCTTACCTTTCTTCTTGATTGACGAACCGTCCTTAGCATAGAGAATTTCATTTTGCCACCTCCAAAGTTGCCAACGAGCCATAGCGCACACTGATAAGAAAATCATCCCAACCTTGCAATGAGCTCCTACATGATGGACAAGCCATTTAAAATCAGTCAACGAGGATAAACGTGGAGCTTTTAGATCCCACCAGGCCCAAATTTTTCTCCAAATAATGCTCGCCACAGGACAAGAAAAGAAGCAATGATCCATTGTTTCAACACCTTTACCACACAAAATACACTCCAAAGATTGTAACGGAATCCCTCTCTTCGAAAGATTGAACCTTACAGGAATGGCTTCTTTAAGCAACCGCCAAGTGAAAATATTAACTTTCTTCGTGATTAACGGACTCCAAAAGGAGAAATCATTGTTATCAACATTTGTATCGACAGCCCCTTGAAGAAATTTAGACATTAAATTGACCGAAAAATCTCATTCTTGTCTCAATTCCACGACCACACATCCTCACTTGAAGTATTGAAAGCCGTTTGAGAAAGATACATTTCTAAGGCTTGAAGGTCATCTGAGCTTCTTCCCTTGATTGTCGATTTCCAGTCCCAAGCTCCACGCCAAGCTCCATTGATGTAATTCCATTTTTCTTTGAACAAAGCATTTTTATCCCTCTCCATAGCATAAAGTCTAGGATAGAGATCTTTCAACTTTCTGCCTTGACCAATACTCATATCCTTCCAAAAAAGAGAAATTGAATCTTTAGCAATCTTTTTGGAAAACGAATAAATAATATTCTGACCTGCAACTTCCATATTCTTGCAAGTGTTAACAATAGAAACCCAAGCACTTTTCCCGACCAAAGGCCTATAAGAATAAAGATCACCGTCCTCGCCATAGAATTCAGATATGACGTCCTTCCAAATAGCATTTGTACTTGACAAAAACCTTCAAATCCATTTAGCTAACAAGGCATCATTTTTTGCTTTTAAACTAATGACACCCAAACCACCTTTTGACTTCGAGTTAAGATTTTTTCCCAAGCAACCCAATGAATCCTTTTTTCATCCTCCTTAAATCCCTAAAAGGATCTTCTTCTTATTGATTCCAAAGTTTTTAAAATAGAATTGGGCGCTTTAAAAAGTCTGCCATATTTTTGACATCCGCTTCCGGAACACCAATACCAAAAAGATTGCATTTGGACAGATTTATACGCAGTCCTGAAACATCATGAAAGCAACTTAGAATATTAGTAAGAGTTACTAAATTCTTACGAGACCATTTCCCAAATATTAAAGCATCATCCGCAAATTGAAGGAGAGAAAGATTCTGATTCAACTTCGCAAGACAGATGCCCTTGAAAAGACCCTGATTACAGGCAGTACTGATCATAAGCTGTAAGACTTCCCCCACAAGCAGAAAAAGGAAATGAGAGAGAGGATCTCCTTGTCTTAAACCCCTTTCCATATAAAACTCATTTGAAGGCGTACTGGTCGGTTATATTTCACACCTTTAGACTTAATGAAATTGGGCCGAAAAGCAAGTATACAATACGGCCCAACGTCGTCTTTCCAAGTAATAAAGTGGTACAAGTACCGGATTATCGTCCACAGAGATTGTAGCCAAAGTTAGATTAGAGTCCAATGAAAGAGATGATTTCAGATGACGATTTCGAAGACTTTTCTTTGATTTTAAGGTGATCGAAAACAGAATACAGAATATATAAAAGAAGCAAGGGTGTAAGACTTAAGGT